TTAAAAAAAAAAAGTTTAAATTAAAGTTTAAAAAAATAAAACTTAAAAATATGTATATATATGAAAGGCTTTATGCACACATGAATAAAGTGGCTTGGGGTATTTTCCGCAACATGTATTTTTATTTTAGTTTTTATTACTTTAATTACAATGCCCTGCTGATAAAGAAAGCAGGATAGAAGTAGTAGGCTATTGTTACAAGACCCCTTATCATAAAAAATCTTAAATGGGAATTTCTTGGGCAATAATTAGCAGTAACTATATATATCTGTGTTAAGCCAATGTGAAGGTTATAAAATAACCTTTTAATAAAAGGTATAATAAACATTCAAAATAGTTTTGTATTTTGTATGATGTTTATTAGTACTTACTGTCTTAAAATTTAAATATTTTGAATCACAAAATAGAATTTAAGAACAGAAACCATAATTTTTCTATAAATAGGATTATGCCAGTAATTTTTGAAGTAGTTTTTGTTTGGCTTATTGATTTGTTTAATATGATTTAAGTTAGAAGTGAAATTTTTAGTTCCTTCTTAGACTGGGTAAACTTTGTAGAATATGTATATCCTTCCACTTTTCATATTAAAAAAGAATATGAATATGAATATATATGAATATAAATGAATATATAATAGATATGATATAAATATATAATATTTTATATATTATCATTTGTAATAATATATAAAACATAATAACTAAGATATATATCATATAAAAATAATTTCATAACAGTAGTCTGGGGCTTAAATTCCAAATGAAATAGAATAACAGGAAAAGGGAGGGGCTCAAAAAAGATAGAATTTCGATATTAACTTTGATTAGAAAAAATACATAGTTTGAGATTATTTTAAAAATTTATCTAGAAGTAGAATTTATTTAAAGATTTTATTTATTTATTTTGACAGAGAGAGAGTGTGCACAAGCAGGGGGAGCAGCAGAGGGAGTGGGAGAAGGAGACTCCCCACTGAGTAGGGAGCCTGATGTTGGGCTTGATCCCAGGACCCTGGGATCATGACCCAAGCTGAAGGCAGATGCTCAATCGATGAGCTACCCCAGGGCCCCTAGAAGTAAAATTTAAAGCAAGTAATATACCCTCTAAGTCACTAAAGAATGTAAAAGCAAATAGACATAGTTTATAAGAGTAATAGGAAAAAAAAAAGAGGGAAATATTCAAACCAGAAAGTACTTAATAACATTGGGAAACACAATATAAACTATATTCAGGATGGACCCTAGTTTTGCATGTGAGTTTATCTGTGTGTATGACCAACATAGCTGTTTCTAGAAAAGAGACTGAAAGGAAAGTAAGATTGAGTGGTTTCATTTAGGGTGTGAAATTATGGGTGATTTTTTTCCCCCTTTATGCTTCTCATATTTAAAGAAATTAATCTTATATTTGGTATCTGTACACTTCCCAAAGAACAAATGTTCTTCAAAAATGAAAATGTATATATTTTATGTAATACAAAATATTCTAAAATATTTTACAGTTCTTTCAGTAGAAAAATCTGTTTATTTCTAGGTTTATTGGTGGGCAGTATTGCTTATGGGAATTGCCCTGATCATGCTAATGGCTGGATTTATTAAGATATGCAGTGTTCATACTCCAAGTAGTAATCCAAAGCTGCCTCCTCCTAAACCTCTTCCAGGTAAGATAGTTTGAGCAAGGTATGTATTTTTATAACTCGGAACTGTTCAGCAGGTAGAATTGAATGTTAAGTCTTTAGTAACAAATTATATAGTACTTTCTCTCTGAGAATGAGATTAGTGGATGAATTATTTTGTTGATTTTTAAGTATTTTTTTTTATCAATCCAATCTAATGGCTGCCAATTTAATGCTAATCTGTCTTGAGTCACTAAAAATATTTAGACTTAGACAATTTTATTTTTGCTTGATACCTGTTTTCTTTTTTCTTATTTTTCATATTCTAAAATCTTCCCTTTTTTTGTTTTTATTATGTTAGGCTACTTCTAAATGATTGATTTTTCTATTCTAATAGCTACATTCTTTTGTTTCTAATGTTTGTGCTCTTGAAATATTTTCTCGTACATAAATTCATTTTCCCCATGGGTGACGCTTATGGGGAAATAGAGATGAAGGGCTTAGGATAGAGGCTTCAGTCACCAAGTAACCATAGTTTTACTCTCCATCTCTGAAAACAACTCCTGAGCTTTGGTCTCCACCCTTGACCTCTCACGGAGACACAGCATCAGGAGGAGGCTTTCTTTAGATTAGTTCCAGGGATTTGGAGAAGAAAAGAGTTAGGAAGCAACTACACTAAATTATTCAGTTCCCCTCTGTCCCTCGCCTTCCCCTATTTGTGGCTTCTGGGCTGCCCTCAGAACACCCGCCCCGGAACTCTTCACTCTAGGTGTGGGGCAGACATGTGCCGTTAACAGTGGCAGAGAACGAGAGCTGAATGGACAGCTGTCCCTCTCCTGCCTCCCCCAGACGTCTCATGAAGCCTCTTGCCTCAGGCCAGGTCTGCTACCCTAAACAGGGTAGTTTAAAACTAGGGGTTTCTTACAACTTTTCCCTCAGCTGCTCCCCTGAATTTACCTATCTTGGGGCAAGAGAGCTCAGTAGTCATGCTTGGGACAGCATCTTGGTTGGAATCAGAGGAAATTTGACTGTGATGTCATTGCTTTTTGTAAATTGACAGTGTTAGCACTGTAAAACATATTAATTTCTTAGGGATTTCTAAAGAGGGCCGCATGACACTCATTAGCCATGTTAGCAATTATGATCTCATGCAGTATAACAATTTTTTTTACTTGATTTTACTTTAAGCAAATTCCCCCTTTAAAAACTTAAAAAAAAAAAAAAAGACAAACTCTAGGTATCATTGAACCCTTCCCAAAAGCACTTCTACATGAATTGTCATATAACCCTCACAGATTATATAGACAGACTGTAGGAGTTCATTATTATCCCTGTTTTACAGGGATAGGCATCTGAGTTTCAGAGAAGTTAAGTCATTTACTCAAAGACTCCATAATTTACTCCTCATGGATTCTGTCCTCAGAATTCATATTAATCTAATAGTTATGTCTGTTGAGCACTTGAAATGTGGCTAGTTTACATTGAGACGTGTTGTGAATATAAAATACATACCAGACTGGGAAGACTTGGTGTACAAAAAAGAATGAAATAGTTCATTAACACTTTTTTGTATTGATTACACCTTGAAGTGATAATATTTTGCCTATATTGGATTAAGTGAAATAAAGTTATTAACATTATTTTGCCTATCTTTTTGACTTTTTTCATTATGGCTACCAGAAAATTTAAAATTACATTTATGGCTTGTATTTCTTTTGGATAGTGCTGATCTAGAACCTTTCTTATTGAATTGGCAGCTTTGTTTTTTAAGATTAAGCACCCAGTAAATCCGTTTTACTTTTGTTTGTGATTCGCAGGCACTTTAAAGAGGAGGAGACCCCCACAGCCCATTCAGCAACCCCAGCGTCAGAGGCCCCGGGAGAGTTATCAAATGGGACACATGAGACGTTAACTGCAGCTTTTGCCTTGGTTCTTCCTAGTGCCTACAGTGGGAAAACTTCACTCCAAAGAGACACCTATTAAATCATCATCCCCAAACTAAACCCTCACAAATAACAGTCGGAGAAAAAATGGCAAGAGATCATGTCCTCAGACCAGGTGGAATTACTTAAATTTTAAAGCCTGAAAATTCCAATTTGGGGGTGGGGGGGGTGGAAAAGGAACCCAATTTTCTTATGGACAGCTATTTTTAACCTAATGGCACAAAGTCTTAGAATATTATTATGTGCCCCGTGTTCCCTGTTCTTCGTTGCTGCATTTTCTTCACTTGCAGGCAAACTTGGCTCTCGATAAACTTTTATCACAAATTGAAATATATATATATTTTTTTCAACTGCCAATCAAGGCTAGGAGGCTCGACCACCTCAACATTGGAGACATCACTTGCCAATGTACATACCTTGTTATATGCAGACATGTATTTCCTACGTACACTGTACTTCTGTGTGCAATTGTAAACAGAAATTGCAATATGGATGTTTCTTTGTATTATAAAATTTTTCCGCTCTTAATGAAAAATTACTGTTTAATTGACATACTCAGGATAACAGAGAATGGTGGTATTCAGTGGTCCAGGATTCTGTAATGCTTTACACAGGCAGTTTTGAAGTGAGACTCAATTTACCTTTTTATAATGATAGAGTTGGTTCTGATACTCCTCTTGTCTTCATCCCATGGCTGCTAAGAGCATAGGAGTGACTACGTTGAAGGACACAGTTAAGTGTGCAGACTGGACGTGCGCAGCATACTACTTCAGAGTCCGTTCTTACGTAAACGTCTGATTTCTGCTTACTTATTTTAAACTTTCTAATTCAATTCCGGTTTTGAAATTTTAATCACGCTTTGGTAGAAATTATGTCAATGAGATGATTTTTTTATTTGTAGCCTGTTATTTGTGTTTTCCGTATATCTAAAGTATGCTAATTATGTTTTTGGTTTTCTCTGATATGGAAAAGAAAAAGCTGTGTCTTTTATTTTATCAAAATATTAGAACAGTTTTTTCAGCATACTATCACTGATCATTGGTAACCACTAAAGAAGGGTGATTTGTTCAACTAGTAGTTAAAATTGTAGATAGGCCTTCTGACATTTTTTTCCTTAAAATATGTTAACAACAGTGAAGGTGAAACAGCACAATGTCCCATTCCAAATTTATTTTTTAAACAGATGTAAATAATTGGCTTTTTAAAGAAAGAAAGCAAAAGCATTTAATGTATTAACAGGCTTATTGCTATGCAGGAATGGAAGGGGGCATTACAACAAAGTTTTAAGCTTGTGACATATTTATTGCTTCTGTTTTCCAACTACATCACTTAAATTAGAAGTAAACAGCTATGATTTTTCTGGCTTCACATAGGAGGCAAATTTAGAGAACGTTGAAAAGATTTGTGTTTTGGCTTTTTTTTTTTCCTTTTTGTTTCTTAAGAGTATAAGGTTTACACAATCATTCTCATAATGTGACGCAAGCCAGCAAGGCCAAAAATGCTAGAGAAAATAATGGGATCTCTTCCTTGTAAACTTGTACAGTATGTGGTGACTTTTTTCAAAATACAGCTTTTTGTACATGATTTAGAGACAAATTTTGTACATGAAACCCCAGATAGACTATAAATAATTCTAAACCAACAAGTAGGTAGATATGTATGTAATTGCTTTTAAATCATTTAAATGCCTTTGTTTTTGGACTGTGCAAAGGTTGGAAGTGGGTTTGCATTTCTAAAATGGTGACTTTTATTCTGCAAGAGTTCTTAGTAACTTCTTGAGTGTGGTAGACTTTGGAACATGTACATTTTTTGCTTGTAATGTTATCCTGTGGTAGGGTTTTGGCAGGTACACACTGCCCTATTTTATTTTGAGTCTAAGTTAAATGTCTTCTGACAAGAGATACGTGCACTGAACTCTTTCCACTGCAAATCAAGATGTGGTAAAAACAAAAGGATCAAGACAAATGAGATCTAGTACTACTGTCAGTTTAATGTCCACTGTGTTTTATACAGTATCTTTTTGTTCACTTTGGAAATTTTTACTAAAAATTGCAAAAAATAAAGTATTGTGCAAAGATGTAAGGTTTTTTGAAACTTGAAATGCATTAATAAATAGACTTGATGAAATCAACTTGAAGGTTCCATACTCTTTGAACTCTTGAGAAGTATCAAAAGGAGCTTCCCGCAAGGCAGCTTTTCCTTACTAACTGAGAGATGATTAAGCAGAGAGAGGATTGACTCTTTCCGCACACATACAGATAGTTTTATTCCAGGTTAGGAGTCCATAAAAAAAATGTATGATCAGTTATCTCTGTATCTACATACAATGATCATTTAAAAAAACATTCAGCTGATCTCAACTGCTTTACATTACTTCTAATCAATATTCAAAATGTTTAAAAGTCTTTGTCTTGGTAGATGAGCAGAGTCATTTTGGAAACTGTGGTCTTACATATTTTTCGCAAAGTTTTGAATACTAAGTACCTCATTTATTTTAAAAGTCTATTGTAGTAGTACGTTTTAAAATTTGGAGCCACATTTCCTGTTTTATCAAATTCATAGCAAATCAGAGAACTGACATTTCAGTTTTAACTAGAAAAAGAATTATAAGCCCAGACTGGTGCCCTGCACAGAATAATCTGCCCCAAATTCTTTTTTTTAAATCAAGACCAGCTATAAATAAATAGTATTTGCTAAATGAGTAAGTATGCAATACTTTTTAGTTACTTTGATTTATAAACATCAAAGTATATATCATGTTTAATTTTGTTTGTTCGTGAAGCCATTAATTCAGATGATTGCAAATTTGTTGTTTTTACTTACAGTTGAATACTTAAATTTGTTTAGAATGTTTTTCCCCCTCAGTTTTCTAAATTCCAGCAACAACTCACAAAACAAAATCAATAAAATAAACTATTAGGGTTTTTGGACTTGGTGTTCCCTGTAGCTTCAGGAAAGATCATACTGTTGGGGAAGGACTTTTTAAAGGGAAAGATGACTTTATCTGGTCAGTCTTATTTTCTGAGGTGTCTTCAGCACCTGTGCTTCGGGTACTTCGTTTTTATCATATTCACAGGCTAGTGAAAACTGAAGATTTCTCCAAATTGAGCAAACTACTTTTAAGTTCTTCTCTCTCCGTGTGGCCGGTACATTTTAAGATGAATAATGATTATTATTTCTCCCAAGATGGGATTCGTGTCCTTGGCAGCTGTGCAGTTGTGGGTGCTTGTGCTTGAGAAGGCTTTTAATTTCTTGTTAAGTATTTCTAATGGGAAGTGTTAAGAAGGGTCGGTGTAGTAAATGCATTACAAAACTGGACAGCCCTTCTTCAGGGGTATAAGAGGAGATGATGTTCATTATCCAGAATTAAAAGGTCATTGTCTCCCCAAACTGGAGAGCAAGTTGCATACGGTTTTAAAGCAGCTGCCGGGGACAATTCATCTTTAAAGAAGTCTAAATTTGCAATAAATTGTAGTTTCTTGAAAAACAGTTTGACTTCTAAGTAATAAATATGGTCAGTTTGCCCCACAGAGCTCAGCTTCAGTTTCGACATTTCTATGTTCTTGATTAAAAACAACTCCTATTTAGTTCTCTTTTTCCATTTATTACCAGTTTAGTTTTTCCCTTATTGTTTCTGTATCCAGCCCTTCATCTTATTAGGCTACAAAATGAGCCCTTGTGTGCTATATTGCGATATTATTTGCATGTTTAAGAGATACACATGTGTGCACTAGTTTCAGTAGAAATTCATATATTTTATAATTGATAAGCTCTTCAGAGTGTGTGTTCTCTCCCATAAAAAGCATTGGGATGCTAGGTAAAATGGAGGGTTGAACAAAATATTTATAGCCTCTGCTCTTTCCTAAAATCTCCACTAAAGTCACAGTGACTGGGGAAAGAAAAGAGCATAATCCAACAAGGATAAGGAATACTGAAGCAAAGACAACAAGAACACAATTTTTGAAACTGGAAAGCAGGTGAAGTAGTATCTGACTTGGCAGGCCCAGGGAAGCCAAGTCCTAAGCCAGCAGTAGAAAATGAGAATGTTCAGATTTTGGGATATAGCTTACAAGACTTCTTTCTATGCATGTGGTTAAAGGCATGCTATGAACACTTCTGTACCCACCTTTCTTATTTAACAATGTACTGATATAGTATCTACATCATTTTAATGACTATAAATGTTTCATTCTAATGACTTATTCTATGGATGTACTTACTGTACATTCATAAAATTAACCAGTTCCCTCTTGTTTGCATATTTAGGTTTTTAGATCATTTATTATTTTAAACAGCCCTACAAGGAAAATGCCTAAGCCTAATAAAATAAATACCTAAAAGTGGAATTGTTGGGCTAAAGGTTTTTTAGAGGTCATGGATAAAAATTATGATATTGTCTTTCAGAGAGATGGTACCAAGTTATATTCCTACCATTATCATATAAGAGTACTTCCACCATTAGCATGTTATATGCTTTTTTCAAAGTAATCTCTACAGCAACATGGGGCTCCAAGATCAGGCGTTTCATGCTTTACTGACTGAGCCAGCCAGGCACCCCAGCATATTATATAATTTTTTTTTTTTAAATCTGAGAGCCCCATGCTTAAAAATTCACATATATGCAGCTACATGAATTTATTAGAAACAGTAGAAAACTCCTGCTTGATTGACTTTATTAGCTTTGAACATAATTCAAGTCAAACATAGTGCCCCAGTTGTGGTCTCTAAATGCCATTTTCTTCAAAGAAACGGGACTTCCTTGATGAATGGCTAATTCCAGGTCTAGAGAAAGAAATGTACAAGAAGAGCCTAAAAACCACTCTGTCATACCAGAAAGCAAATAAGCCATTAGAAATTTGTCAGAAAAGATTCAGGAGGCACCTTAAAGAAGTTCCCACTGGCCAAAGCTGAGATAATTTTAGCATCAATAAGGATAGCATCTGCAAGAAATTGAAGCTCATGTTATGTTTACTCTAAGAGTCTACAAAATCATAGTTACCTTTGGAATATGCTCTTAAAGAAATATACCCAGCTAAGTAGTTAAAGAGGAAGGATAGGATATCACCGTTTTACCCCATAATGATTAATGGATCTAGGCAATGATCACCAGTAACTGCTAACCCCACAAAGAGATAGCAAACATTTTGTGCCTCTTAACGGAAATACATATACCACTTATGAAGCAGATTCTACCAAAAGTCGAATCTGATGCTGATTGAGCCTCTGTAACTGATCACCTCTTTACTAGAAATACAGAAAAGAAAGGAACATGTTAATTGATACCACAAGAGATTCAATCAGCAAAATCCAGACTCTGGAAGACTATAGGACCAATAACCTGTTTGTTCAATAACTGAATTGCAAGGGAAAAAAAGATGGGTTAAAAGAGACTGAAGAGATATATCTACCAATACAATTTATGGGCTTATTTGGATCTTGATTTGAATAAACTTAATTAAAAAATGAGACCATTGGGGAAATCTGGAAATAACTGGATATTTGATGACTTTAAGGAGTTTTACGGTTATTTTTAGGTGTGATAATGGTGTTGTGGTTACATTTTTACAAGGAGCCCTCCTAGAGATGCAAATTGAAATACTTAAAAATGAAATAATACAGCATTTAGGATCTGGTTAAAAATAATTGAGGAGTTTGAGCTGGGTAGTGTGTGGGAATATAGATGACCATGAGTTGATAATTACTGAAACTGGGTGATGGGTACTTGGGAATTCATTATACAGGTACTATTTTCTCTACCTGTGTTTATGTTAGAAATTTCCCATAAATGTTTTTTTTAAGTATGAATCAAATTCATACAGAAACGCATTGTTTTTATTTCAACAACCATTCATGATACTAGCCTATATTTACAATGATTTTTTATAATGATTTTTTTTACTGTAATTAAACTTGAATCAGTCAAGCTAACATAATTAATTATATTCTGCTCCAGTTACTATGAATGATTAACTGATTTCAACTGCTAGGGTAAGTGCTTGAAGCTGTCAGTCATTCAGCAGTCATAGCAAGCGGGCCATTCCATCCCTCTTTGCGCACTAGTTTTTGTTGGTCTTATTTATTCACATTTAACCTGTGTGTCCTGTAGTAGAAGAAATAGAATAAATAAACTCTACTCTTTCTTGTTGAAATGATAATGATCTCCAGAGGTGGAAATATATCTTTAAAAAGATATCCTGGAGTTGTTTGTTCTCAGTATAAAGAAATTAATTTGATAGAGTGCAGTTTGTCTTATATAAAAAGTGATTGCATTGCATGAGTTTTCGAAATAATTTTGGAAAAGCAAATACTGAACGAATTAGCCATTCTTCATTCATTCTAAATGTGTATTTCACTTTTTTCCCTCTGCCTTTTGGGCATGGGAGTTTTAGGCTTTGTATTTCTAACAAAAAAGCCCAGTTTTTGTAAATCGAGGTGTCAATATGTTGTGATTTTCACTATTTAGTTTTGTGATTGTAGTTAGTTCTCATTTTCCATAAGTTCCTATTAGGAGCATCTCTGAATAAGTGAATTGACCTTTTAAACACCCCCCCCCCCAACCAATTCCTTGAAGTCTTATCTCAGAGGATGTTTGGAATTCTTTGGCTCTGAAGGTATGCATAGACTGGTTGGCATGCGCTGGTAACCTCAGTTATTCATGGGATGGGTCATTAAGCGCTGGGTTGTACCAGCACATCTGCTAGATTAATAGGTATATATTGGTGAACGTAACAATGTCCCTGCCCTCGTGAAGCTTACGGTCTGGTAGGTTAGACAGATGTTAATCAAATAATCATGTGGGTACATGTACAATCTCAAGCCTGATAAATGCTACGGAGCGGACACTTCTGTTGATGGGAGAGCTGATCATGCAGGGACGGGACTGAGGGAGGAGGTGGGACCTGGTCAGGAAGGTCAGGGAAGACTTCCCCAAGAGTGATGCTTGAGCCCAAATCTGAAGGATGAAGAAAAGGGGTAAGTGGCTCAAATAGAGTTTTTAATAATATTGAAAGGTTCTATACTGGGTGCTGATAGCTAATTTTTCTTTGGGGAAAGGTAACATTTTTTGCTCTTGATTTTATTATATGTGAACCTAGCCATTCAGATTCCCTTGTGAGTTTTTAAGGGTGGTTT